GAGCTTAATAAGCCCCCCACTGGCACTATTTGCGCCAATCTACCTGCCACTAATCATTAACATGGTTAACTGCAGCGCATACTCAGACCAAGCTAAGCTTTATGGCAGTTTCCATGATGCAGGGTTGCTTCTCTGGGCTGAAAGGATGAGATTTGCTTCTAAGCAGAAACATGCAGGGATGGCAGGGAATTAAGGCCTCAGTGAGAAGCAGTCGGTGTTTGTTAGAATGACGCATGGAGGGAACAGGAGGCTCAAGCTGTAACGTAAGCTGGCTTTAATCGCTGCCATCTAATTCCTGGCTCCTGTGCAACAGGTTCAAAGTTAGGGAAAGAGATCTTCTTTAAAAGTAGAGCCAATCTAGATGTTTAACACAAGGTGAGATTGCTTTAAATTCAACTGCAAGATCTGTCTTAAATTGAAGAAACTGTTAGGCAGTTATATATTCTAATACAAAGAGGAACTGTGCAAAAGGCCTGTTTTTAAAGATTTACTTAGTCTGATTTAAACAAACCTTAGACTGAGGAAAAGGGAGGGAGGGGACACCCCGACATGTTACCAGTCAGTCAGAGACTTGTTTATAATCTAACCAGCCTATAAAGTGAACTTTATCCCTTGGTTTTTATGATGCCTTAAACCCAGGTGTACTCTAGTTACTTATTACTGAATTCCGAAGACAGTTATGTTTATGGTTCTTCCCCATTCAACATCAGTGTTAACATGAGCAAATGGGAAAATAGTCATATGTTCTGATAAACTGTTTAACAAACCTACCGTTATTTAGAATTTAGCTTGAGAGAAGTACATTTTAAGGTAGGGGACAGAGGATCAGGGGGTTTTGTTCATTTTGCTTTCAGATTTCAGTTTAGCCTTGAATTTAAAAAGAATAATCTTTATATAATATGGTGTGTTAAAAGTATTAAAGCTATTTCCCACCTTTTGACCTCTTCATGCTGAGCCACCTGTGCAAAGCTGACGTTCAGATAGGAGTTTGGCATCAACCATCACTTTTACCTCAGCAGTTTGTTCCAAAAAAAAAGAATCATTTAAAATGATCCCAAATAATGAATTTGGGATTTGGACCTCACACACAAAGCCATGTTTGAACTGAATGTTCACTTTCTGCACATTTTAAAGGATTTGCTTCTCCATAACACACCCTAACAGCCATCAGTGTCACACACTGAGTCAGTCTGGGAATATCTATCACACCAACATACAGTATATTTGCAATATATAAATATGCTCTTTAACAAAGTGTATATTCTACGGCACCTCGGATGTTTCCTTATATTCTTTAACAAAATATATCAAAATGGATTCTATCAGTATATGATGATTTTCTTTTTCTACATAAGAAGAATCTGACTGTTAACTGTAATGTCTTTTTATTCCTGTGAGCTCTGTGTGTAGAAACTGCCATATCTCTCGTTGTAAACCGTGTTTTATTATTATAATTATCATTTTTTTGCGTTTTCTGGTGATGTTGCTGTTTGTACAGTTCAGACTTTCTGCAGAGAAATCCATCCTGCAGCATCCAGTTATAACTGAATAAAGGTTTTTGGCAGCTGTTTGTTAAGAACTGTACATGTGCCATTTTCTTCCTTTTTTTTTAGCTATTGTTGCCAGTTGGTGGTGGAGTGATATAGGTCATATGGGCGGCTGCCCAGGGTGCTATTAGATAGGGGAGGAGGCCTCTTACTAAAAGAAATATAACTTTTATGACAGTTGCTTTGTTTGCATACAGTCAGTAGATGTCCTGCTGAGAATAGTTAGTTTATTTTAGATTATGCGAGACTCTGTACCCTAGATTTAGATGTTTTATAGGTTCGGATTGGTTGCAGAACGCAAACGTTTTTTCTTTTTAAAAAGAAGCTCTAAAACCTTCGTTTAAAAAATACATCAAGTATATGCAAAGTGTAAATATCAACCATGTGAGCTATTCTTGCTTAATTATTTGAAGGTATTGAATTTTCATCCCCCTTTTTTCTTGGTTTTTAAGACCTGAGCAGACATCTGAGAAGGTCCTAAAACCTAAACCATAGGAGCCAAAATGTTAATATTGGTTCTTCAGTTAGTTTTCATCCTTTTTCTTTTAAGCATGGCGCTTGATAGTCAGGTCATGTACCTTTTCTTCTCCAGTCTTCTTTCAGATGTCCCAAACATTGTGAATAATCTATCTTCCAGTCCTCTGCAATAAAACTTCAAGTACCCTCAGCCAAATACCAGTCTGTCCTTTTGGTTTTTATAAAGGAAAGCAGCTTTTTTAACTACAAACATGCAGATAAATCTTTAGATTTCGCTCAGTAAACCTCAGCATACGCATTAACACTAATGTTAGCACCCTCCTATGTTGCAGTACAGTTTCGCCTTTTACATGAGAGCTGAAAAAAATTCTAGAATCAGAAAAGACTTCCTTATGTTCGATTGGATGTAAAATAAACAAGTTCTCACTGCTAATTATGCTTATTTGCAAAAGAGCTGAGGTGGTTGCAATCGAAAAACTTAAGTCACAAGATTTCCCTCCAAATTCAACAAAAAGTTACATTTTCAAAAAAATAATGTATTCTGAAAAAAGTTCAGAATTATTGATCTGAGGAACATTCCAAAACCAGACTGTTCATATTGAGGTTTCTTTAGATGTTAGAAATCTTATATATTGTAATAAACAGTAAGCAAAGAGCTACAATGTTTCTAGAAAGACAACTGGAAGCAGGAAGCTCTAGAGTTAAAGTAACAGGGCCTGCATTACAGGAATGTGGCAAAAACAGCAATCCACAAGCAGATTTCCTAAGAGGCAGGTGGTCAAATTAGTTCAAGTATCTTGAAAGTATCCTGGCAGCGGCCAATGAGGTCTAACTTTAGAGTGAGGCATAAATTATAGAATTCACAACAGTCTTTTACTCCCTGACTGACCCAAAATACAAAAGAACAAATCTGTTTTGACTCGTTCAAGAGGAATTTTCCAGGCCAACAAATCCGACATGAAAGAGGACCAACAGAGCATCTGCAGAAGAATAACTTTGCTAGTGAAGCATGGTGGTGGCATGGTGATCCTCTGGGGCGGCTCTGCTTTCTACCAGGACACCATCAGAAAATCCTTAGAGAAAACTGAAGCACTGGACTTTCCAACAGGAAATTGATGCAGTAAGTATATTTAAGAACAGCAATATTAAAGTGTTTTCTTTCCACAAGGTGTGTTGGAAAATATAAGTGTGGCCATTATAATCTTCTGACTTGGTTAATATAGTTTAGGTGTCTCAAATCTCACCAGATAGTTTTTTTTTTTTCCACAAACTGCTCTTTGCCCATAAGGGGAAGGAAAACTGCCAGCAGATGCCTTTGAATCTCATGTGTAACAGGTCATGCCAGCAAAACCATCCTATAACATCTAAACATACTAATCACGAAGCGACTGGTAACTTTGGAAACATCTGTTGTCATTAAAAGTGAACCTTTGTGTTAAGTTTGAACACAGGTTTCTTATGATTTTGATTTTTTGTTTTATTTGGGGCACCTGTGGACTAATATAGTTGGATCGCAAAGCAGTAAATTCAATTCCAGCTTTCTTTAGGGCCACATGAGCAAGGCAACACGTTCACCAAGCTGTTCTAGACACATATTGTATGCCATCATTTTAATCAATACTCTTGCTGTAAGATGGAGGAGGAATAAGCCCCTGAAATAAACACTAATGCACAGAAACAACAGGGCACCAGTCACATTAGGCTACATTTCAGTCAAATCCTCATGCAGCAACCTTTTCCTCATAGTCAGAAGCTTATTGGGAACATTGCCTCCTCAAGAGGTCTACTTTAACGCAACAGGCAGCAGTTGTGAGGAAGCATTAATGCAGCAGCCAGCTTTCAGGCTCCAGACAGTCTGGTTGAGAATAGAAAATAAAGCTGTCAGAAGTAGGCGGCACTTCTGTGATTTGCTACCCTCGTGTGGTCATCAAAGGTACTGCATCTGAATTAAATTAATCTAAACCATCATCTCTACGGAAGAGGATTAGGGCCTCTGTAAAAATATAAAAAGCTAACAAATTTTAACATTTTATTTCAGTTTACTGTGGGGAAAAAGTCAGAATTCTGAGATTAAAGTTAAAATTCCGAGATTAAAGTTAAAATTCTGAGATAAAAGTCAGAATTCTGACTTTTTTCCTCATATTAAACTGAAATAAAATAAAAAAATCAGTTAAGCTTTTTTATTTTTTCAGTGGCCCTAATCCTCTTCCGTATGTTTTTATTGTTTATTTGCAGTGATTTTCAGATGAGTCAAAAGGATTCTAATGACTGAATATTTTTGGGGTTACATGTCAAAGATAAAACCAGGCCTCCACATTCCTAAGCCTGACATACAGGGTTTGTACAATATCAAGCCTCTTCCAATGATTGATATTCTGTAAGCTTTTTTTTTTTTTTTTTTTTATTAACAAAATCAGGAAATCTTTTCATTTTTAATGTTATATTCCTGTACTTTCAAAAATTGTAAAACACATAGCTGGAAGTGTAAAACTTCTACATCACCTGCGACATAACTAGAAGCTTTTTGCACTAGAAGCTGTCATGTGACAGCTTCTAGTGCAAAAAAACAATATGCATTCATTCATTAGGCAGGAGTTGTTATGTGACCTGCAGAGGAGCAGCTTAGAACAAACTTGAATTGGCAATTCAGATGCTAAAAATGTCCCAACTACTAAAAGTTGCATCTATTTTGAATTAAAGTGTTTCCCCCTGTTTGTTGGTCAATTATGTCCTCGAAAAAGTAGTTGCAGACTGAATTTTTATTTGTGAAATAAAAATTCTAATTTTTGCTATAGAAACTAAATAAAATTTAGAAACTAAAACATTTTCATCCAAAAGATTAATATACAACTAATAATTTTTTTTTGCTCTTCTTCAGGCTTTAAATAAATACGGTAAACAGAAACACATCTAGAGTCTTGAACAGTACATTATACAGTTAGGGAAATAAATCAGTACAATAAAATAGTATTCAGTGAAAACTTGAGACTCTTTATTGATAACAACCAAAGAAAAAAAGACATATCAACACAACATGTCTTCCTAATCCACAGTCTTTACAGCAAGCAGTATCACTAATGAGTTATACTGACAGTGGGAGCTGATTTTTGCAATACCTGTTATCCATCAGCAGAGGGGAACCTTGTACCAGCTTGGACCTGTAGAAATAATTGTGTCCTTTTAGTTCAACTCGGCTCTATTTGGGTTTTATTGATCATTTTCACTGTTTGAAATCGAATCATATAAAGTGTTATTGCTTCCAGCATATAATCGAAAGAAAGCAGCATGAGGCTGTAAAGCCAAAATAACAGCTTAAAGAGTTTTTGCATTTAGAAGATGGATTTGATGAATGCAAAAGCAGCATTTCTCTAAGAATACTATAAAACTCTGCAGCTTGCCAACAATTGATCAATAAAGCTGTTTTTTTTTTTTTTTCTCCCATCAATGAAATAAAAGAAAAACACTACAGGCAGCGCTGTGTACTACGCAGCATGGGTAGGTTGGGTGTTGCCGCTTTAGCAGAAACAATGCACTAGTGTTTAAATATTGACTCTGGCTGGCTGTGGAGGCTGCATTTATTTCTCTGTCACCTCAGGTCAAGGCTGGACCTTGACGCCATGTTTGCTCTGAGCTGTTCTGCTGATCTTGGCTCTTTTCCTGCAGCTTTCCAAGCACAGGGGGTGTTAATGGTAGTGATGGGGGGGGGGTTCTGACAGGGTCGCTACAATGACATGGGGAAGGATTGAATATGAAGCTTGCAGTCAGTAGTCATACTTATGACACAGTGAATCAAACCCGGAAAGCAGAGTAATCAGAGCGCTGCTTAAGACACATAAACATTAATATTCACGCCTCAGACATCATTAGTCTGGTGAACAGTTTGGCCTAAGAACAAAAAAATAAAGAATAAAGTAATTCAAAACCACACAGGTTTAATAACAATAACTCCAACATTTAATATACTTCTGTAATCGACTTCTTAAGTACAATTGTTTTAAATGTGCAGTTTTCTACACTCGAGTGTTAATTTTATAAAGAAAATAAAGTACACTGGAGCATGTTTGGCATTCAAGCTTTTCTGGTTAGAAAAAAAAGGCAAAGAAAAAAGGAGTGCAACAAGAAAGGAGGATGTTTTCTTGCACACTGAGCATGAACCAACTACATACACCAAAAGACAGGAGAACATGTGCCTGAACCCATCCCCTGGTTTTAGTTTCCACATGTCCAGAGAGGACAGCGGCCACAGAATACTGGGAAGGTGTTTGTTTCCAGTAAGGGAGACCAACACAAGAGTTAGACTAGACAGGGTGGCGGGGTCAGAAGGTTTAAAGAGGGGGGGAAACTGAGGGAGAAGAGGTGAGGTCAAGTCTCATTGCATGGGTGCGTCCTGAGAGGGAGGGTCCTCTGGTTGGCTGATCAGAGACTCAGTGGTTTCAGGGACACCGTCGTCCTGGTTACTGGGAGCACTGGTGGATCCTGCTGGGGTGATCTTAGTCTGAACGAGGAGGGAGAAGATTTCCGTTATTGACTTAAATGATCACATTCCTGCACTGCTTCTGCTAAAATAACATTAATTAAAAGAAAAATAATTATGCTTATGGCATCATCTGGAACATCAAGCAAATCCACGTATTAATCTCATCACCTTCAGTGTCTCCACTTTCTCCTCCAAAGTCTTGAAAGTTGGTGCATTCCTGATAGAGAAACAGAGAGTCATAAGTTGACAAACGAACAGAGCTGAGCCGACTGTGTTTATCAGACCTGCAGCCTGAAAGGCAACACTAACAGTAAGCACAACTTTAGGAGGTGCAGATATCTGATACTGAATATTGGCAAAGCAGCCTTGCCTAGAGGTGGCCCCATTCCACCCAGATCTGTTTTTTTTTCTTAAAGACTGAAGAGACGTTGCTTTAAAAAAAAAAGATCTTAGATCTGTAGATTTTAGAAAAAGAATAAAAAGAAAATGGTGAAAACTTTGAGAAAATGAAACTGGACAGAATGTCAGTCTCCATGCAGATGTGTTTGTGAAGGCGGGTGTTTGTCTTTATTTGGTGCCTCAGGTTTATCTCCTTGTTTTTGACCGACTTTCTGTTAACTGGATGCAGCAGCCTGGCTGAGGGAGATTATCTAAACTGAAGTGTTGCTGTGTGCTGATAGCGGCTCGTACTGTTTGGATCCTGACAGTTAACACTCAGACCCGACTATATTCTCTGACAGGAACGGGGGATGCTTCTCCTACTGGCAAAGCTAATATTGCAAAAGCATTTAATTAAAAGATTCTTCAGGGCAGCAGTGAAATCTTTCTTTACTAAATCTAAAATGTAATTCAAGATCATTTGAATTTATGTTTAAACTGATTTTTATTATGAGCACCTCTGCTGTTAAAATGCCCAACCCTCTTTCATTAATAGGACTACTGAGTTTTGCCCAAAAACAGTAAAGAGAGGGAGAGTCAATCTGCCCAATCACTGGAGATAACCCCTGATGTACTTTTTTTATTTAACTTTTAGATCTCAGGGCCGAGGCGATGTCTGCTGACCCATTAGGTCATCATCTCCCTGCAAGAGCCAGACCCATTTTGAGTTGTCATTTAAAAAAAATCATGTCATGCAAAATGTGGAGCTTCTTGAGAGAGGAAAAAGCCACAGTATCTCAGATCCTCCATCATACATTGCTCAAAAAGGGAACACTCAAATAATTTTGATCTGTATAAAGTTGAATGTCCAGACAACAACAACAAAAAAAATAAATAAAGTTACACAAATATCATCAATGGAAATCCAATGTATTAACCAACAGAGGCCTGGATTTAGAGACACACACAAAATTAAAGTGGAAAAACACACTATAGTTTGATTCAACTTTGATGCTACAGTATGTCCTTGAAACAGGTCAAAATGAGGCTCAGTATTGTTTATGGCTTCCAAGTGTCTATATGACCTCCATACAAAACCTGGGCATGCTCCTGATGAGGTGGTGGATGGTCTTCAGAGGAATCTCCTCCCAGACCTGAACTAAAATATCCGCCAACAAGTCTTTGGTGCAACATGATGTTGGAGGATGTCCCAGCTGTTCTCCATCAGATTTAGATCTGAGGAATGAGTGGACCAGTCCATAGCTTCCGTGCCTTCACCTTGCAGGAAGGTCTGACACACTACAGCCACATGAGGCCTAGCACTGTCCTGCATTCAGAGGAACCCAGGGCCAGCAGCACCAGCATATGGTCTCATGAGGGGTCTGAGGTTTTTTATCCCTGCACCTAATGGCAGTCATGCACCTCCATGTGGCAAACACATGGAGGGCTATATGGCCCCCCGAAGAAACGCCACCCACACCATTGCTGATCCACTGCCAAACCGGTCATGGATGTTGCAGTCATGAGATCGCTCTCCAGGGTGTCTCCAGATCCTGTCACATGTGCCCAGTGTGTCTCTGCTTTCATCTGTGAAGAGCACAGGGCACCAGTGGCGAAATTGCAAATCCTGCTGTTCTCTTGCAAATGCCAAGGCACATGCATCTGTGGACGTTGGGCCCTAATGGAGTCTGTTTCTAACTGTTAGTGCAGACGCATGCACATTTATGGCCCGCTGGAGGTCATTTTGCTGGGCTGTGGCAGTGCTCCTGCTATTCTTGCTTGTACAAAGGTGGAGGTAATGGACCTGCTGCTGGGTTGTTACCCTCCAACGGCCTGCTCTATGTCTCCTGGAGTATTGGCCTGTCTCCTGTTAGTGCCTCCAGCCTCTGGACACTATGCTGACAGACACAGCAAACCTTCTTGCCACAGCTCGCATTGATGTGTCATCCTGGATGAGCTGCACTACCTGAGCCCCTTGTGAGGGTTGTAGAGACCGTCTCATGCTAACATAAGTGTGAAAGCACCAACATTCAAAAGTGACCAAGACATTATACTGAGAAGTGGTCTGTGGTCCCCACCTGCAGAACCACTCCTTTATGGAGTGTCTTGCTATTGGCAATAATTAACACCCGTTGTCCATTTCATTTGCACCGAAGAATGTGAAATTGATTGTCAATCAGTGTTGCTTCCTAGGTGGAGATAGAGTTTGATTTCAGTTGAAGTTGTATTCTGTTGTTTACATGTTTCTTTTATCTTTATGGGCAGTGTACTTAAGAGTGGACATGTGGTTCTTTCTCACACAGTAAATTTTTTTGCCTAATTCTTGGTAGTGACGTTGTAGGATGGACTGATAAACTCATAAGCAGCGAGTTGTGTTTTGTAGTTTGTAATTTAGCTAAGCTTTCTTCTTTTTGTCCGATTCTTTGCATTCACATTCCTCTAAGGGATATGTTCAGACTAATTGTGCCGTTCACAAGACATGTCCTTTTAAATTAGCTAAAGCCTTAACTTTGGCTTGCAGTGGAAGGATCTGTGGATACTTGACATTATTGGACATCACTTTTAAAGGGCATCCTCCCAATCTTAGAAACATTTAAGGGCTGAGAATTTAATAAGGTTGTCAATAAGATTGGACGGTGATGTATAATTCTTTGCTGACTACAGCTTGATGACTCCTTTGTTTGATTCATAATTTATATACCTGTAACATCAACATTAACCAGTTGGGCTGGCCTCCTTACCTTATAGCTGGCATACTAGCTGAATGCGGAATTGATTGTAAGCTATCCGACAGCATTAAGGAGAAGAAAACTGGTGTTAGTCATGTTGCATAAAAACATAGCATGCACAGAAAGAACAGAACAACAAAGGTAAGACGGCTTCACGTACAGAACAAACAGAATTTATACCACCAAGTGGATAAAGCCTATAAACCCCGCTTCATCCCATTAAGATCGATTGTGTGTTATCACAGAGGGTATGTGTTAATCCCCAGTATTAGGGGTGAATATCTGCTCATCAAACAAACACATAAATCAACATCGGAGCAGACCAACAAAAAGAATCAAATGGAGGGATGGAATGCCTCCGACTGCTGTGGGTTCACAGTTCTTTACCCCTCTAAACGACCCGGACTCCATGAGGCTGCATTTCTCAGCACCTGCTGCTTTGACAGGGGCTAATAATCTTGTTTGCTGCTCAATAATCCCCAGAGAAGAAGGAAGAAGACAGCGTAGGTCCTGAGGAAGATCACTGAGCTGCCATTGGGTGTTTTTAATCCGTTTAATCCTGCTTAATCACAAACTGACTGACCAGCCGACTGACAAGAGGGATGGATGAAATAAAAGTTGGGGTGATGTGGAGGGTTACTAAAATCTCTCATCAGTAGGTCAGACCTCAAACACAACTGGAACTTGGTATTGGCCAGTAAAAGCCTGATTGATGGATCAAATATTAAAACAGTAGAGGCACCAATTAGGTGATCAGAGATCCCAATTTTCATCTAAATCGTATCTAACCTGTATTCAGTGGATTAAAATAACTTAAAAAATAGATATTCTTTCCCTACTATTTTATAAGGCAGCTTTGTATAACAGTAGTTCCTCTAACTACTTTTTTTGGTCTATAAACGCATCAACAACAGCATGTAGAGTTAATCCTAACCATTCCTACCTTTGGTGATTAAGGTTTTTAGGACTCTTTTTTTAATTACCGGAAGTAAGTTAAACATTTGGGAGTGGCCCAGATAGAATCCTGATTTGAATCTGTAAACACAGCTAAAGATTAGGGTAATGGAAAGGAGGTTTATAGAGTTCATCCCCAAAGACTAATTCAAAGACACTCATAGCAATGATGACATTTTTGAGACATATGCCCGTGTCATTTCCTTTCACATTTTCATTCCCAATTGCTTTAATAATGTAGGGAATTAACTGTACTTAGGTGTAATCTTAAAAAAAACTAAATATAAGAACAAGTTAAAGGTTGGGAATACATACATAGATGTATTAATACTGATATGTTTGCTTAGATTCTATTGTATTAAAAACGAATACTTCAGCACAGCAATGGGAAGCTCAGAAATTGAAGAATCAGGCTGGAGATGCATGTTAGCCAGGAAAAGGCAATTGATGCATCTCCATTAAAAAATTAAATACTAAACAAAAACCTGTCAGATCTTTTTCCTGTAATTATCAAAAGAAAATGCCAAGTTTGAACTAAGAAGGGATTCAAACGGAAGTGATTTCAAAGTCTCTCTTTCTATATGAAATGGATGCTTTTAGGATTTTATATGAAACACTATTAAACTGAAGGTATTTCAGACAATTAAGTATTCTATCACATCACAACACCTTTGGGGTAATTTGGAACAAATGCTGATTAGTTTTCTTATCTCAGAAACCGCTTATACGGAGATTACCCAGAGTTCCAGAGGACAGCCTTCGATTTAACGTACCTGACATCCTCCAGCTTCTTGCTAATGGCTGAGCCCATGTTGGAGAAGGCCGCTGTGGCTTTCAGACTGGCCTGAGATAGAGTTTCAGATGTCCTCCGATAGCTGGAATGCAGCAGGGGGAGATGGAGAGAAGAGGATATGAATGTAATAAAAAAAAAGAATGAGGGATCAAAGGCTGAAAAGAAACATCAAGGTCAGAATCAAACTTCAATGCCTTCTTCATTTAAAACAAGCCTTGGAGAATCTGAATGCTGCTCATTTCCTGTAGAAAACCCCATCAAACAGTTGCACACAAGCCACAGGCAACCTGTCAACAGCACTGGCATCTTCCCCCCCTCTGATAGTGGAGATGTTTCTCTGTAGCGCTGACAGCCAGCTGTGTTTTCAGCGCATTCAGAAATACAGAAGCATAAAGAGGAGCTTGAATAATTTACATACAATAGAGCTGTAGCTCGTGAGGTTTTCATTCTTTCATTGGAAAGTTCAAAAGGTTGGCTGAACATGCTCAGAGTCATTTCATTATTATTTCATAATCCATTGAAGCAGAATTTGTTTTTGGTTGGATGATTGCATGGATGAGAAAAAATAAGATGAAACACAAAAATCTAAAAGCCTGATACGTGTAGAAAATACAGTCAGACATGAGCTGATATTCTGTCAGGTAAAAATACTCACGCTGTGGAAGTGGTGACTTCCTGCCAGGTTTTGGTGATGTTCTGTTTCAGCTCATTTAAAGGAGTGATGCCCAGTCTCCTCTTAATGTCTGCAAGCTGCTTTTCTTTGGCTGCCAGCACCTGGGACAGGGTCTGGATCTCATCTTCAACCTGACACAAACACACACATGAAGCTGCATTATGGGATGTGGAGCCTAAACTGGATCCATCCTAAATGCTCAATTCCGATTTTTTTTGTGAAATCCAATTTTTTTTGCGTTGCTGTTCACATTTCCAAATATATGCGACTTGTATGTGATCTCCTGAAGTGTCCTGCATGTGCAGTACAGGACATAATGACGTCACAAGCAAGCGTGCTAAGTGTTTACGAAATTAAACATGGTTGGTAGTTCTGGAACGCACCTGCCGATCTTTCCCAACCTTAAAAACGTAATCTTTTCAAGATGGTAAAAAAAAAAAAAAACTGCTCTTCCCATTATTGTCCACGATGGTTGTTGTTTTTCTTCCCGCTTCTGCTTGGGAAGACGCAGAATAGTGACCTTTGTTGAGTATTAATGGCGTACAGCTCGTATGAATGCGATTTGGCCGTTCCGACACAGGTTGCTCTTGTAAAGATCAAATTCAGGACCACATAGCCAAGTGGCCTGGTGTTGCATTGTAAGAAAAAAAATATTGGATCTGTGTTGTTCAGACAGCTATGAAAAGATCAGGTAGAGGTATGGGCAAGAAAAAAAAATAGATTTGGGTCACTTCAGGCTGCATTGTGAACGTAGCCTTTGTTCAACCTCCCAGGAGTTCAAACAGAAAACATCAGAGCGGAAATGAAGAACGTAAATATATGTAGCTGGGGATAAAAAATTGCTGCTTAGACTAAAGCTAGTACTTTTTTAACCTGAAAATAATTATGAAATATTAATCTTTTGAAGTAAGCACATAAAACTCACAGAAGTAGATCAGACTCCTTCTAAATATGTTTATTTGCATTTTTTAGTTTGTAAATTTTCAATGAGATCTATTTTTCAATTCACTCTTATTTAGCCTGTCGGCAGCAAAACATGTGGACTCAATGAGAAAACAGCAAAATGATTATTTAAGGAACAAAGCACAGCGAAGATAATAATAAAGAAATCAAATCTGAGTGGAATAAATAAATCATAATCAACAGAAGTTATTAGAGGTACAATGATGCTTCAATAGATGCTTAAAGACACAGAAAGTTTCAATCACTTGTTTTCTTAAGGATTCAAAGGTAATCGCAGTCATTAGCATCTCACAGAGTTTGGGAATCGCTAAGGTTAATCTTGGCCTTGAATCAGTGAGCTCAAACTAGCTGCAACTCAAATGTTTGCTTTCTAATCTTCAACTATCTAAAACACTAGGATTCAAACAGAAATCATTAAAAACCTGCCATCCATAGTTTCTAGTAAAGCCAGATCTGTGATGTCATCAATACGCACACAATATAGAAAATGCTGTATTCCTGCATGTCTTTCAAAAACCTTGGATTTTCAGTTTTCTCCAATTCTAAGAAAGTCAATAAACCAATTATGTGTCTAATAGCTTCACTGCCTCAATATACTATGCATAAACATGAGGATTTTCCGCAAATACTTTTTATCAGCTTTTCTTTCTAAAATAACCTGATACAGAAATTGCTAAGTTTTGATCACATCACCCAATGTGTTTTTTCCCCCCAAACAACTTAGAGCCACTTTAGACATAAAACAGGGGGAATGGACTTAATGTTCTCAAGTGAAATAGAGAGTTAAAGAACAAACATAAAATATTTTCATTTTAAGCTAAAGTAATTTTTCTTTATGAAAGTAATGTTCACAGAGGACGGAAAAATAATAATGATCTAAATCTACTGTCCTGCAGATTTTAGCATCCCTGCTCCAACATGGTCAATTCAAATGACAGAAATATCTCTTCATCATGCCATCAGGTTTGGCAAAGGACTGGTAACAAGGCAATAATTCGATGCAGCTGTGTTGTTGCAGGGATGCATCTAAAACCTGCAGGAAAGTAGATGTTGGGGAACAGGGTTGAAGACTGTTGATAAATAATGGAGGGCCTCTGATAAAAGGTGTAAACATTAAAAGCCTTGTCAAATTAAAGATTTAGAGGGAAACATTATTTGAATAACAATCTAACACCCGCTCCCTTCTGACCTTAGCCAGCTCCTCCTGCAGTTCCTGACGCTCTTCCTCCGTCAATGTGGGCGGAAGAGGAGCTGGACCAACAGATGTCACTGCATCCTCTCCCATCTCTGCTACAGAGTCTGGTTGCTCCTGGAAACCTGGCAGGTAGAGAAATACAAAGAAAGACAGATTCATCTCCCAAACTCTTCACAGAGGAGTGGAAAAGAGAACAGTAGAACAATGGCTGAAAGACATGAGTCTGAAGAAAAAAAAACTGTTTTATTCCACTGACAAAGATGCAGCCATATTTTTGCACTTTAAACTAAGATTACAAAGTGTGCACACCTCTACTACGTATAACAAATAAGTCTCCAATCTTTAAATAATAATGAAAAAATGAGAAATACAACACAAAAACTGAATAAACAGTTAGTGAATAAAATGTACCTAAAGAGAAGAAGTCAAAAGAGGAAGTTGATGCTGGAACTTCAGGGGGAAATTGGCCAAACCTGTTTATTAACTGACACAGGAGCAGCCTATAGAGATCTAAACACTCCGTTTAGGGGGTTTTATTTCTTAGGCTGCAACTAGATCAGTTTTAAGACATGTTCTTTCCTACCATCATATGTTCCTGTCAGCCCCCTCAGCTTTTAGTGCAGGCATAAAGAGCAGTGGAAGTCAATTAAGTCGGCAGATTTTATCACTGGCAGACGGATTTTATTGCATTCGTGCATCCAAGCTGTCATTTGCAGCTGCAATATCACATGTTGTTTTTGCAGCTCCTATTTACTTTGACCCAACCATCCTACTAACATAGACTGGTTATTTTACTGTAATGCTGCTGACTTAAAACATAAAATCAGATTAATTTCTGGACAAAAAAAAAGTAATGACTGACAAAATAATGTTACATGTTGTGTTATTCCAAATATTTTATATATTCATAAAACATACTTTGAGATAAGAGTCACATTAATTCATCATGCCCTCAATTAACCCCTTTTCTCAAAGAATTGTGGTCCACCCCACTAATGCTATACATAATACAACTACAAACCAGGTTATAAACAAAGAACTTCCATTGTTGACTACATAAATGTGCAAACTTTCAGGTCAACTCTAAGAAGCTGCATTTTGTTTTTACATTTCTGAACTCACTCAGTGGCACAGTCTGAAAGTGCACAGCTTGCTGTTAAAGGAGCAACTCACTCAGAACGTGAGAGCAGGAAATAAGGCAAAGGTTTGAGCGTGGAAGTTTAGCTTGTTCCACTAAATTGCACATCACTCCCTGGCGCCTCCAGTCACATCATTTCCTCCCGACAAGTTCTCCCCCAATGACCACCCAATTTTGTGTAACTTTCAAAGCAACATAAACAATTCCAATTTTCAAACACACAACTGTATTTGTACAAGATTTGTGGAAAAAAAAGAAAAAGATAAATAAAATAAAAGCCCTTTTTGGATGAAGGATGCTTACAATAAAAGTGTTAACTTTCCTTAAGCACCGTTAAGGAATTAGCAAAAATAAAAGCTTAACTTCTATTCAAAAATTTCTAATTCTTCAAACTGAGATCTATGTTGAAAAAGAAACGGATTACTCTACCTAACTAGATCTGGAACAAGAGAAGATTTGGAAACAGCGGCGATAGCAAGAAGATGTAAGGCCATGTGTTTTAACGGCCCTTACCATGAATAATAAGAATATTTTCAGGGAGATTCCTTCCTGGCAAATGTAAAGAGGACTAAATATCATCCACATAGAGGGAAGCAGTCATGCTAACATTTAGGAAAGAACCAGTCTCCTTAATTAATCTTTCCTCAGTTAGATAGTAAAGATACACAGTTTACTAAAACCACAAGATACAGTTCAGCAACCTCTTTTTAGAAGCTCTCATCCCTGCACCATGATATACAATCAAAGATGTGCCCCAGTTGTCCACCGGTCGACTTTTGGATAGTTTTGTTTAATCTGCTTTTTTGTAGTGGATGGTGGTGAGATAAGCTCCAATCTCTCTTTATCAGGGCAGTTTTTCATCTTCTCAGTTTAGCTCTAAATGTAGATACCTGGGAATTTAGGTTAGCAGCTTTTTTTGTTTTTGTTTTCTGACTTGATGAGAACAAAGTAGGGATGATATAGATGAACTTAACATTTCACCATTATATTATTTGATATTTCTTGTGATAATTGATCATATCAGTTCATCACAACACTGAGAAAAAAAGTTACAACAAAAATAGTGACAATCCCCATCATTGTCAATTTTGAGTGCATACAAATCTCATTAAAGTCCAATTAACAATTAGCAGGTCAAATGAACAATTCCCAATGATTTATTTGTGCCTATAAAAAGAAGACATTAAACTAACTTCAATGACGTTCTCTTATCTCTCTTATTTTGAGTAAAGGCTAAGATAACAAATAGACCTTTGTGTTTATCCCCCAAGGAAAAAAGGAAACCATAGATTACATATTAAACATTTCAATCATTAATCTGATCAGTGTAAACTACAAAAACTGTTAAACTTTATATACATTTAGCAAGATCTACCGCTTTATATATATATAAAAATTTATTTATGGAATTTGGATTTATTCCTCCTTGTCATTTATCTTTATTTGTATCATGAATCAGTTAATTACCACACAGAGACTCAATGATTGTTATAAAAGTATGTAGGATTAATATGCCTTAAAAAGAAATTAATTTAGGATTTTAACAACATTATCTTGGAAACTGACTCCATAACATATTTTGAAAACCAGGCGTTGGTGGAAATAAAGAACATTCATACATGTTGGTTGGTTTTGTATCATAAAGAGAAATAAAATGATACAACCGTATAAAAGGATTAAAGAGGAACTGCAACAAATATAGCAAACACCTACAATAATAACCCCACAATCTTACAGTTAGTGTTTCCCAAATTCTTCCTGTTCAGTGACCCAAAGCCATGCTAGCTTTTTTTTTTTTTTTTTTTTGTACAGCTCTCACACACACCCCCCTCCACTCATTCTCTCCCTTTCCTCCTTATGATTACCTCTGGATCTGACAGCTGGCGAACTGGGCGGCGTGTCGCTGTAAGCTGGGGAGAGGAAGAGGTAACTGGAATTGACTCCTTGTTCAAAATCAAAAGGAGAGCTGTATTCTTCCAGAGGCTCCATATCTACGGGTCGCCAGAACCACCTCTACGCCGCGATCTCTACCTCAGCAGAGCCCGTCGAGTCCTGATTGTCTGCATGTGATCCAGCCGCGTGCTGGTTGTCACCGTCTCTCCTTGCTTACGACACTCTGGACTCTTGTTCTCTTTGTGATGAACACTTAAGCAGATTTTAGATCGGTGTAAGAGCAGAAGGTCAAAATGAAACAATATGACGCCACGTTTTCATTACTCATTGGTGCAGCAGGCCAAAGGGTTGTTAAAACTCTGCTCCTTGCAGACTTAATAAGTTACCAGTCGCCTCAAGCATCTGTTGCAGATCTCTGAAACAAACACACAGTCTCTCCCTCTCCACTATAACCCTAAAGGTCACTTCTCAGTCCATCATTCTAACATCCCTTTCTGCAACCAGTGCCGCCGGTTTTTGGATGCTTGCTTGCTGAGCTTCAACACCCTCTCTGCCATTTGCACTCCTACATTACTTGCCATCACCCAGCTTGTAAAGTGAGGAGAAAGTAGGAGAGGTTCCATTTGTGCGAGAGGGTCATGTGGTTATATGTGTAGGGGCGCATTAGATGAAAAGCATAATCTGCAGTGTCCCAGATTACAGCAGAGCGCTAATCCAGGGAGGCCTGTCCTACCCAGAGCAGCAGCAGTAATGCTAGTCAGGCAGAATGAGAGGGGAGGACGCCCCCCGGCTAAACTGGCTGCTCTGGAAGTAATGGAGAGAAAGTTCTTTATGTTCTTTTAACAAAAGAAAAGTGCTACTGTGTGCGTAAAGTACTGGAGTTTATTCATTCCTTCTACGCAACAAGGACATTCACTTAACTGCAGGTTGCTGTTATAAAACAGTCACACAGAAACACTAAAAGCTGTACAAAGATTGATAGGGAAGAAATAAAGAATAAGCATGTTTCCATAGCAACTCAATCTCTATAAAATACATAAATCAGGCATTATAACATGACAACCTGCCTGATAGTGTATGGGTCCCCATTCTGCAGAAAATGTAACCCCCTCCCCATTTACTGGTCAGATCCCTTCAGGTTTGCAATGTGTTGTTGACTTTCCCAGTCATATTTGTGATAAACAAACCCACACATTGATGAACGTTGTTAAAGCATTTAAACTTTGGATTCACTGCAAAATATGAGATTTCAGATTGTGAACAGTTTAATGCAGATCCTAGAGTAAAATTAAACAGCTCTTAAAGGGGAACACCATTTTTTTTTTTTTTTTTTTACATTGGCCACTTGATTTTACGTTATTATATCATGTTCTACTCACCCATATGAGTTTTGTGTTATTTGGAGCTGTTCTGAAGATATTCGGTTTTGTAATCCAAGTAACGTCTTTCTTTGGGCAACGAGCTGAAGGCACAAACTAAACTGTTCATAATTTATTATTTATGGTACGCCAGCATTCATAGCATGAAGGCGAATCACAGTCCGCCAGACATCCCGGTTATATTTTTTATATTTATATTTTTTAATAACAAAGTGGAAAATGCTATAAGAACGTAAAATCAAGGGCCCAATGTAAAAAAAAAACGACGTTTCCCTTTAGGATTCACAAAAATAAGGTAAATTTAGAAATATATACTAAAAAATTTAAGTTAATAATGGTGCATATTCCTCTGCAGCTACATTTTTGTATTGTAACGTATCCAGACTCATTTTCTGAGACTGGAGCCACATGTTCTGTACAATCTCGTCTTCCTCACAAGTAAACGGCAGAAAGACGAGAGGAGAGTGGCCCCCTGGCAGGTAAACGTTAAATAATTCAAAGAAGATATCATTTATGATCAACTTCTATTTCTTCAGGATCTTTTTTTTTCTTAAAACAAATCCAGCATGCCACATTAATTACTTGAATGGATGGCACTAGTTCCTGACCTTTAGAAGGTCTTAAAATAGGTGCAACCATGTTTGTAGGCGCAGAGCAGATCTTCAAAGAAGGTGTATAGTTATTTGCTTTCACAATTCAGCCGACAGTTTGCCTTCATCAATATGCAGATGATATTGACACAAACTCATGGATGGATAATATGCTAATGTAAACATTTACCACATGCAAAGGGATTTTCAAAATCAGAAACTCAATTACGGCTGCAGTTTTTGCATCTTTTTAGTAAATAGTAAAAGTCCTGTACCTAAATAACCCATTTTCAAGTCAGGAGGCTCCAAAGCACATAACTGGACATTTAGTTATTCATCCTTTCACGGACATATTCACACGCAGGTGGTACTTCTGAAAGTAGGGTGCAAACTCGCACAAAATTTTCTGCGGCCGATGTAACTCCAAAGGTACAGTGAGAGATGAGAGAAATAGATTCTGTGTGCACGTAAAGATATATGGACCACCAGAAATAACAAATCTAATAATATTAATAAAAAAAATTTAAAGATAAATGCAGCGGGATGGCAGACAATCTTTATACATGACTGAAGTTAAATATTTGACATGATTATATGAAAAAAATATAAAAGAACATAAAAAGAGCCTACAAAGAGACATGGGGAGGGATACTCGCCACAACTGGGATTTTTCTCTCTTCATATTATAAATTATAAAGTTCTGTGCACAAAGCACGGGACAATTAGCAGACAAAGATAACTTTATTACATATTACATCTCTGATATTTAAATTTTGTAATTATAATCATTTTATTTGATTTACATCTTTACTAGCACTTTGAAATAACATACCTATTTGAGTACAATATTTATAATATTCTTATTTAATTTAATCTTTTTAATTATCATTATCTTTCTTTTACGGTCCCTATCAAACTGCCTGTATCACACAATCTGCTCATTTCATTGGTGTGAAACTAAACCTCTTTGCACATTTTAACATTAACGCAGCGATTTTTGTAGATCACCTACAACATGCCGACTTATTGCACACTCAAAAAAAAATTATTGCACATACAATTTAATGTTTCTTATTTTGAGACTCTGAAGATCAGAGCCTTAAAATGTAATAGCATACCTAGTACTGCATCCAAGCTTTTCACTGCAATATAAATTTTACTGATAAAGAGATATATGCAGTACTCTATAATACACCAAGGTATCACAGAGCCTGTGTGACACACCCAGCAAAAGCTGCATTGGACTGAAATGTAGGAAATGTACAGGCTGAGTTGATACATTAATGCAGTAATTATGTTGCAGAAACTAATTTGGCTTTGTGGTATTGTTGAAAGGCGCAACAGGGATCAGGGAATATGTTTTTTTATTGAGGTGTGTACGGGTTGCGACAATGCTTAGGTGTGTCAAGGTAAAACCCTCATTGATGGAGGAACCCAAAGCATCCCTGCAGAACAATTCCCAAGGCGTCACACTGCCTCCACTGGCTTGCATGGTTCCCTGTTAGCTACCATGTCCTCACCAGGGAAACAATAGCTATTATTGTGCTGTCAAAGAAAAGCTGTACTAAAACCACGCAAAAAGGGACTTAGAAAGGGTCACTTTTCATTAGCTTTGAATCAGTATAAGAGGAAAAGAAAAATCCCTGGCAAACAAGGAGATCCTTAAACACATTTCCAACTATTCTCTTTTCTAAGGAGGCAGATGAGCAGGTCCACACTGGCCTTTTCTGAGAAATGTAATGGATTAAAAAACAAAGAAGGGCCAAATATTTGGAAAAAAACACGAGCACATTGAGCAAATCTTATTTTGATAATTCTGGATCAGATCCGTGCATTTCACTCTGAATGTGGCTGCAGATACATTGAACACCATTCAACACCATTAAAATTATTTTATTTTAAAGCGAAACGCAAATATGCCCAGAGCTATGGTACTTTGAGATGTACTGATACGTAGATTAGATGCTTTCTGATTGGTCATTATCAAAGGTTTTTTCCCCCTGCATCGGCTGATATGTGTATGTATCCACTGATTCATTAGTGCATTCTGCATGATGTCTAGAAATCACATGAAAAACATTCAATGCTGCTCCCTCCCTTTGCCTTTTGTTAATAACTCTGTTCATTATGCTAAAGAAAAAAATGTATCCATTTAAATGTACCTATACTATCCAAGCTGACAGAAAGACAGTTATTTGTTGAGAAGGTAATTGTGATGTTTTGTTTTTTTCCTTATTTTTTAATTAGTGTTTTTTCTAGCAGAAAAAAAAAACTTTTATTGAAAAATTATATTTCAAGTAACTTCCTTTAAAAAATCAAATAAAATATTGTTGGTCGTGCTTCGAAGAAATTTCCTTTGAAATTTCTTTGTGTGTTAAAAATGCAAACTTTAGGTTGTTTTATTTTGATTTTAAGTAACATACAAGCATAGTGAGCAGGATTGCAAAGTTAAGGTAAAACAATAGAGATTTTTTAAGATTTCTTCATGAATTAATATTTAAACAATGTGCCATCTCTGTAGGATAAAAAAAAAAAAACGGTCAGTCACTTGTGATGCATCTCATCCGGTTTTGTGCATTTAGCCAAATATTACCAAATCATGTCTACAAACCGGCTCAAACTTAACATATACAAACCAGGGCTGGGGATCAATGATCGATTCTCATTTTAAACCATATCAGCATGGAGGCAGAGCCATGTTTTAAAATCTATCTTTTTATTTAGAAAATGTTGAAGTGTGGTTTGATAGCAGCACCTCTGTAAACATGAAACCTCTCAGCATAGATTCTCAACTGGATTTAGAAGACTTCAGGACTTTGACTAGTTATTTGTTTTACATTTTATCAGTTCATTTTCAAATATATAAACTAAACAAGTATTTCAAACAAACTTGACTAACAGGGTAACAAATTCATACCACAGTACACAAGAGACACAAAAAGTACAAGTGATCAAATAATAAATTGCATTGCATACATTTAAGTCATTATTTATGCAATATCTTAGATGATCATCAGCATGCTCATGACCCGGAATCAAACAGATAAGAGTAGAGAAACTCAGCCTTCTGCTTAGACTGTAACAGGGGACAAACAGCCATTTTTAATTGGTTAATGCGGCACAGCGTAAGATCAATTATCCAAGGCATAGCCTGTCACATGATTGGCCGAAAACAAGAATCATGAGACATGAATGACTG